TATAATTTATAGGCCTATTAGAGAAGAGGAGATTGCAAGTGTGTGTGAAAAAAGGGTCACCGAACCGGGATTCGAAACTGACACCTTTCTGCTGTCTATACAAACGCCTAAACCAACTGGGACATTTAGGCTTCTTGGAAATTTGAATTCCTTATTAAAGTAACTGATTGTTCCACTCTTTCGCTTGCACCGCTAATAACAAAGATCATTATGATGGTGAATCTGAAGAATGAACGACAAGATAGGATTACACAATAGAAATTAATGTTTGCGATATATGCCTAGGTGAAGTAGGTGTACTTAAATCAATTGAAATTAAAATAGACCATAAAGTTAGTGACAAATAAAATGCTGATACACTTCTATACTTCTGCCAGCACCAGTCATCAATCATCTGATCAGAATCCCTTAATCAGATTTGGTGACGTCATCATGACTATTATTTGTATTGTAATCAAAATTAAGGATAAGCCTTATAAATAAATATATTTTGAATTTATGTAATCACAATAAAGTTTAAGAACATAATTATTTCAGAGAATGCTATCAACTCGTCTTGTCCAAGACATTCCTGTCGAAGGACCACCGCGCCCTGTTGGAAAAGATCTGTACACATTGTCTTTGTTGGCACAATACAATGACATTTTAAACCAACGAGTGCTATTTACTCAGAATCAACCAAACCCACCATCGGAAACGCAGTTGACTAAGAAAAGCAAATTAAGCCAATATTTAGACCTGAAACCTTATGAAGGAATGTTCAAGGTAAGTTAATTTGCAACTATCGGTTTTTCTTTTCTTATCGATGTAAAGTTTAGAAACTAATAAATACCCGTAATGAACGAACCACTACTTCTGCGTCGTGTTGATATATATTGATTATGTTAACTGACAGATTCCTAGCTAACTTTTGTTGTCAGTAATTAATTAGTTTAATCATCTACTTTATATATTTATTTCTTTTCGTATTACAAACTACAAATTGTCTTTAAAATTGTCATTGTCATTTCATTACAGTGTCTTTCAGTATTATTATCATTACACTTATCATCCTTATGATTATTGTTATTTTGATCGTCATCATTGTGGTAATCATCATCGTCACTCATTATTTTCATCATCATCATTATTATTATTATTATTATTATTATTATTATTATTATCATTATTATTATTATTATTATTATTATTATTATTATTATTATTATTATCATCATCATCATAATTATCGTCGTCTTGTCATCGTCATCATAATCGTTATAGTCGGCATCGTCATCTTTATCCTCATCATCAATAATTAGGAGTTTTCGCAAGTTTATGAAAACGATAACAAATACGGTTACCGGTACTCATCAAATTTTTAGCCAATCCTTTCCATACAGTAGTATCTCTAAAACAACATAAGTGATTTTTGCCCTTTGTATGGATCAAGGATTATATTCAGCTTGTACAGCTGCATATTGTCAAAAATGTTTTAGGCACGAATAACGATAATGATTATGACGTATTCGTATTCGTTATCATTTTCGTAAGGTTAAGAATTCTTCCTAATATTTCCAGTTCAGTGACATTTTAAACCAAAATGTTATTTTACACAGACCCCATCAACACTACCCCCAAGATTGGAAACCCAACGGACCAAGAGTAAGAGAAACAAATTAAACCAACATTTAGACTGGAATCCTTATGAAGGAATATTCAAGGTAAGATACTATCACGGTCC